TTTTTTTTTTTTTTTTTTTAATCTTCTGAGGTTTAAAAGTCTTTTCTATCTTGATATCATCTTAACTTTCTCTCCATTTTGACATTTCTGTAATCATACCATTTTTTTCTTCTTTTTGCTTTGTGGTTGCCATCGTTTACAGATTGATGTCTCTGGTTCCCTATTTTCTGTCTTACAAGTTTATTTTAATTTTGAAAATTCTTTGTCTGGGTTGATTTCTGGGTGGTATAGTTATGTGTATTAATCTCAAGTTGTCTGATGCTGTTGGTTCTCTGTACAAAGAACTCTTCCTTTAGCACTTCTTGTAAGGTTGGTCCAGTTTTTTAAAATTCTTCTAATATCTGTTTATCTAAAAACATTCTAAAATCAGCATCATATTTGAGGGACAGTTTTGCTGGATATGTAATTCTTGGTTTGCAACTTTTCCTTTCAGGGTTTTATATATTGTTACCCCATTGTCTTCTTGCCACATGGCTCCTACTGAGAAATAAGAATTTAGCCTTGTCTTCTCTTTGTAGGTAACATTGCATTGTTCCTGAGCTACTTTCAGGATTCTTTCTTTGTCTTTGGTTTTGGAAAGTTTGATTATGATACATCTTAGTAATTTTCTTTGAGGTTATCCTGTATAGGGTTTGTTGAGTTTCTTGAATGGATATCTTTTTGTCTTTCATGATATTAGAGAAATTTCCTGACAGTAAATCTTCAAAAATTCTCTCTGGGTTTTTTTTTTTTTTTTTGCATCCTCCTGTTCTGGAGTTCCTATCACATGTAAATTATTCCTCTTGACAATGTCCTACATAATTCTTAGACTTTCTTGAAAATTTTCAACTACTGAGGCAGCAGACTTATGGCACCCTATCCATGGGGACATGCAGAACTGACCACAGAGAGAAGGCAGTCACTTGGCACATGATCCACATGAGTGTGCACTCCTGACTGTTGAGGAAATGGCATGACAGTGGGTGTGATGCATGTGATCCATGAAAATGTGAGCTGCCAACTTGGATGCAACTGGCACATGGCATGTGATCCATGGGAGTGTGCACCCACAGCCACTGAAGAAGTGGTGCAACATCAAGTGTGTTGTGTGTAATCCACAGGAGTGTGTGCTCCTGATCACAGAAGTGGAAGATGTGCAGCGTGTGCTTCATGGGAGCATGTACCTCCAACCACAATGGTGATTGGACCATGCGCCTCCAACCTTGGAGGCTGTAGGTGTGTCATACATGATCCACGAGAGCATGTGCTACCAACTTCACAGGTGGTGCATATATAGCATGCAGTGATAGGAACATGCATGGTCTGCTGGGGGTATGGGTCAGTGGGGAGCCATGGGGCAGTGGATGAAGGGGGAGACAATTTAAGCAAACCAAGCAGTGGAAGAGATACAGGGGGTCATCACTGGCTGCTGGGATGTTTGGGGGGGACTCACCCCTGGTCACTGGAAGGTGTGAAGAGGAAAGTAAAAGAGCCCACTTCTCTGTTTACCTTTCACTGGCATGGACCCGTTACACTCCTGGGCAAGTACAGCTGGTTATTTGGTTCCTGAACCTACTGAAGCAAAGTGTGGGGCACCCAATGCCCAATGTTTACAGCCACCACTTCACAGGCCTTCCGCTCCACCTGGACCCCCACCCAAATGACTAGGGACCACTACTTATGGGTGTTTTTTTCAGTATTTATGGGCTCCCTCCCTGTTCTGTGGTCATCTGGCATTACTTGAGTTCTCAACCACTTTCCCTTCTGAGATACAGCTCGTGTTTTACTCACCTTGCTTCACTTTGCATTTATTTACACTCTGTTTCTGTTTTATTGGAGAGTCTATGAAGTTGGCTTCTCCTCACCCATGTATGTTGCCTGTGTCCCAAAATGACCATGCTGTGCTGAGCCTCCTCTCCATCTCTCTCTTTAGTCACTGTTTTTGTTCTGTTTCTTCTTCCAATTAGTGTTCAATCTAATTATCTATCCTTTCATTTGATGCTCAGAGTTCCAGGATTGTCATCTCTATCTATTTACCTTGGTTTCTCACATCTTTGTTGTAGAACCTATAATGTTCTGATGGTACTTATTTCCCTTCCAGAAACCACTGTGTGAGAGGACATGGAGTTTTTCATGAGAAGAGTGGACATTACTGCAGTCAATCATGGGAGAAGTAACTGGGGAGGCAAGACTTTGTCTGGGGTAAGAGGAACCCTCTTTTCTAAGGTCCTCCTGACTTCAAGGCAACAAATGCAGGAAGAGACCGTAGTGTGGTGGGCTTGTGAGACTCTGTCAATGGAGACAGGCCAGGAGCTAGACAGAGGCCACCCTGGAAGAGACTTTGAGAGCAACATGCACAGGGACTCCATGAGAAGTGACTTCTGTGCACTATAACTTATCCCTGGCTCTTTGCGAGGGACATTGTTTTCAGTACCTCCAAACTTCCAGTAATGCCTGACTGAGTTGGCCTGCTGGAAATCATGGAGTTTCTACCCAAAATTAGAGGAGAAGCAAAGGGAAAAGGGCCCTCTCCTAAAGCCAGAAAGTTGACAACTGCCCACCAAGAATATCTGGGCTGTTTAGTGATGGCTTTATAGTGGCCTCAGCAATGGAAGCTGCCGAGAGGAGACTTTGTGAGAGGAACATGAGGATCTAGCACACAGCCTCCCACCATCATTTAAATGTTAAAGGAAATGTGATCTATGGAGTCAAAGACTTGTGAAGCTGGGCCTACTGGATGAAGTGGGGGTAGAGGGGTGGGGTCTCTTCCATTTCACATCTTCCTTTCACTCTCACACTTATCCATTTATTGGACAGCCCCCCCCCCCCCAAGAAATCTCTGTGAATGCTAAGATGCTGCTAGAACACACCCAGACCCTTCTAGGCACTCCCATGTTAAGAGGACTGTGCCCTCACAATTAGTGGATGAACTGCCATCTTGAGTTTTCCCCTGAAGATAGGAAGATCACATTTCCATAAACTTGAGGTTCTGAAGATCTTCTGAGCAGCCCGGATCTCTGCTTCTTAGCCACAGATGTGAGCACCCTTGTGGGCAAGCCTGTGTAAGGCCTATTTTAATCCTCATCTCATTAAAAAAAAAAAAAATACCACTTGCTGTCAAGTTGACTCCAACTCATGGCAACCACATGTGTGTCAGAGTATAACTGTGCTCCGTAAGGTTTTTAATGGCTGATTTTTCAGAAGTAGATTACTGGAGCTTCTTCCAAGGTGCCTATCGGTAGATTCAAGCCTCCCACCTTTTGGTTAGCAGTGGAGAGCACTAACCATTAGCACCAGCCAGGTATTCCAGTCCTCTCACTAATCCAGTCCTGTGGAAGGCTGCACCACAGATGAGAAAGCTGAGTCTCAGCTAAGGCTGAAATCCAGGCCCCTTCTCCTATTTTAGAGGTAGGACTCTGGCAACACTTGCAGCCCCAGGTTTTCATCTGGGAGTGTGGAGGAGTGTCTCAGAAACTGGCTCTTGAAGCCTTTCACATAGTTGAAGGTACACGAGTTCCCATGGGATGGCCTGCCATTTAGCCTGCTGCTTTTTGCCACTCACAGAACCGTAACTTTATCTGAAGCACTCAGAACTAGAATTCTCCTTCCATGAGCTTTCAGCTAACTCTAGATATCAGAGACTTGTTCTACCATTCCTCTAAGCATCTGTCCCAGGGTGAAGGAATGGACTCAATTCCATTATCACTCAAGGATATCATGCTCAACTCAGCTCAGCTCAGCTCAGCTCAGTCCTAACCCTGTCTCAACCTCTCTTCAGATCCTTCCCTGCCTAGGAGCATGTCATGCATGGCCAAGATTCTCAACAGACCTTTAGGATGGGGAATGTGAGAGGTGGCAAAGTGGAAGAAAGAATGTGAAGAGTTGGGGAGGGGAACATACTGACACGGTGTCTGCTAAGTGGGATGTCCCTCTCTACCTCACCATCTCCCACATACCAGCCATGACCCCGAGACACCATGCATGTCCACAATATTATCAAGTCACCAAGACTTACCTGTCATGACAGCCCTTATCTTCCCAAGAAAATCTACTGTAGACAAGTACATAGGAGAGATTCTGTAGGGATTACCTTAAGTCTGTTTTAATTTTATGCTTGAAATGAAAAATACTTACTCCCTTTGGCTCTTCAATCATTATTAGTTATAAATTACTTGGGACACATTCCCTAGTTTTGTTGTGACATTGCAGTAGAAAATATAATTTTATCCACAATGAACACAGTTTCCTTTTACACCCCAAGTATGTGTCTTGGGGTTTCCCTCTGCCTAGGATTTCATAGCTCCTCTCCCTTCCACAGAGAATGAAGAGTTAGATCAAATGCCACCTCGTCTGCGAAACCCTCAGTGACAGCTGTCCTCTACCAGGATTTTTGCTTCATCTTCTGCGCTTATCCTATTTTTTATACATCTTCCTATTAGAGCAAGTGTCCCACTGTATTAATATGATTTGTTTCCCTGCCTACTTCCCACCAAAATATAAGTTCACCATGGAGCCTAGATTAGGACCCAGCCACAAGGTAATTGCTTAATAAATCTGTGATGGAAAAAGCAAAGAGAGTGGATGGAAAGAGGAGAAGAAGGAAGAAGCTGGGTACACCACGCATCCACTTTACCTCTGTGTGATTATTTTCCTCCATCTTGCCAATACGTTGGTTGTTATGGCTTCTTCCACACTCGCCAGTTTGCCCTCATCAGGAAGGATGAAGATGGCTGTGATGTTTCCTTGGTAGGGCATTTCCAGGACAGTGCAGGAGAGCTGGTCGTCACGGCCAACCTTGTACATGCTCCCATGGAACATCATGGGCACTTTCACAGACTTGTTTTGGTCCAGCATAAAGTCTTCTTCTTTAGTTAATTTTGGATCAAACTCATGTTGCCACCTGGCTTGGGATTGAAGAAGGACAATAAGTGTTGGAAGGTGAAGAGGTGACTGGACCAAGAAAACCACTAGTCTCTTGGTTTGTTGGCTCTGGGATATCAGGACAGATCCCCAGGTGTCCTGTCCACATGCCATGCCCTGAAGACTCCTGGTGAGGGGATTTCAGGGCCTGATTATCAGTTTCCAAGGAAGCAAGGACTGAGATGGGATACTGAGATGGGCTGCCCAGGCTCCCTATGCTTGAGTGCCCCTGAGGATGAGAAAGGCCCGGAATTATGACCTAGCAGAGAGGACTGGGTTCTGCTCAACAGGGACTATTTGGGTCTGACCTGAGTAAAATACTCCACCAAATCATGAACCACTCTCATGTGGGGCTGAGAAGACTACTGGAGTCGATTGCCCTTGGGAGCCTGCTGAGGAGCAGTGACCACACAAAGCTGAGCATCTGGAGACCTGCAGATGCTCTTACCCTATTGGCCATAATCTCAGGCCTGGCCCTTTTCCATGATGATGATTTTTGCTGCCAGAACTGGATGCAAAAGACCTGCCTTTCATTAAGTTTGCAATGAATATTATCAGGAGATACCACCAACATCAAATAAGATTGTACAATAAAAAGTGACATCTTGTTGGTCACATCAAAGCCCACAGTAATTGACCTGTAAAAACATAGGCTTAGTAGAAATAACTGATAAAAAATAAATCTAGCAATGATAAAAACTGCACTTGATGACAATGATTTGATTAAATATTCATGGAATGATTAAATATTACAGAAAATAGATTGGAAAATTAGATGAGGCTACATTGGACTTTGTCTAAGCAATTGGACTTTGGCCACTAAAGAAAAAGGAGGTTCTGATTGGTAAAGTTTGGTAGTGATACAAAGAACCACTGACTCCACTGAAAATAACTTATAAGCAGTTTAACTGCATCTTCATATAAAACTGAGCAAGAAATTAAGGTGACTTAAAAGGATCCACTCTGGAAGATAGTTTCTCAGTTATATAAAAAAAAAAAAAAATTGTTCCTGGTGAGTTCTCATTTAAATGCTTGCTATCATAAACACATAAAAGGCCTTCAGAATAACAGAATAACCAAAATGATGGGCTTGAAATATCCTGTGCCTGTAGTAGGGAGAAAGTTTCCCTTCCACCCCTAATCCCTCTGTATGAAAGCAAAGAAGTTAGCAGTGTGTATGAATCTCTGAGAACCAAGAGCAAAGGTGTGAGTGAGAACCTAGCCTTCACCCTTACACTCTGTACCCTTACACAGTATTGGGGTCAACAGCCTGAGTTCAAACCTTGGCTTCACTGCTACAGATATATGATCTTGGACAAGTGTTTCACTCTCCTGGAGCCTCATTATCCTTATCTGTAGAAAGGGAATGTTGATAAGTACCTCCTAGGGCTGCTGTGAGACTGAGTGGGATAAGGCAGCTTAGCTTAGTGACTGTATAGAGAATGTTCTGTGGATGCTAGTCATCACTGGCATTGCCATTGTCTCTCGTGTTCCTGTTGTGATCGAGGGGATGAAGGAAGTGTGGGAATTCCAGATTCTCCCACCTCTTTTCTGATTTGGGTAGACTGAAGTATCAGTCTATAGCCATCACTCCTTTTTGTTTCCTCTCTAGCTATCAGTCTCTGTCAGGATACGGGAGTCCTGAGATTTCAGATTCAGGACGGTGTTGCTGACAGCTCAGCAGTGATCTTGCCTGGCCAGAGGGGTATCGGCTTTGTTCTTGTGTGTGTGTGACTGTGTGTATGTGTGTGACCCCCTCAAAACCCCTCATTGCTGTCAAGTTGGATCTGACTCATAGTGAATCCTCCTTGGGTTTCCAAGACTGTATTGTTACGGAAGTATATTGCCCAATCTTCCTTCTGAGGAGTGGCTGGTGGGTTTGAACCGCCAGCCTTCTGGTTAGCAGTCAGATGCCTTGGGTACTTTGCCACCAGAGCTCCCATGTGTGTGACAGTGGAGGATAAAGTTTGGATTCTGGAATATGCTCCATCTTATTTTCAACCTCTCACATTCAGATTTGAGGAATCTACAAAGTTGGATACTGAAAGAACCATGGACTGCCAGAAGATCTAACAAATCTGTCCTGGAAGAAGTGCAGCTGGAATGCTCCTTGCAAGTGAGAATGGCCAGACTTAGTTTCACCTATTTTGGTCATGTTATCAGAAGGGACCATTCCCTGGAGGATATCATGGTTGGTAAAGTGGACAGTCAACAAAAAAAGGGAAGGCTCTCCACAAGATGGATTGAGACTGTGCCTGCCGTGATGGGCTCAGGTATAGCAAGGATTATGAGACTGGCACACGACAAGGCAGTGTTTTGTTCTGTTGTACATAGGGTTGCTATGAGTCAGAACTGACTCAATGGCACTTAAGAGCAACAACAAACAAAGTCTGATAAACAGACCAAGTTTCCACCCACAATGTTCATCACCACTGTCAACACCACCACCGTCACTGCCTAGGAGTTTACTTGGAGTGATGGCAAAAGCACAGGCCATGAGCCAAGAGAATTGAGTTATATCCTTGACTCACATTGATTGGCTGTGTAACTCTGAGTAAGTCAACTAATCTCTCTCTGAATATAACTTTTCTCATCTAAAACATGGGGACAAGAATGTCACCCCAATCTCTACAACCAGTTTTGGGTTAGGATAATCACTAGTAATGGAAGCACACAAATGGAAGATAATTTAGACTTCACAAAGCTCATTTCAGATAGAGCATCCCGATACTTGACCTATGAGCTTTGTATTATGACACTCATTTTATATGTAAGAAAAGTGGGGTTTTGATAGATCGATTACACATGAGTTCAAGGTCACAGAGCAAGCAAATGGCCAATCCAGCTTTCTAATCTAAGTCTATTCATCTTTCCATACCAACATACCCCAAGCCTTACCTCGAAAGAAAATATAATTTATAAGGAGCATCACAGTGCCAGGATCTATATTCTTGATCAGATTGTCAAGTTTCCCATGGGTTTTCTGACTGACATAGTCATTGATCTTCTTCTGAGTAATTTCTAAGTTCTGGAAGTCAGTGGGAACGACGTCTGCATTGTACAGACTCTTGGCATCTGTCAGAAACTTCCGCTGGGGCTGCAACTTCTGGTCTATGAACAACACATTACCAAGGTTCAGCTTGACATTCTGGCGCCCCTGGTTTAGCCTCTGGATGAGGTAATGGAAACCCTCATGAAGATCCTTCTCTGACAGGTTCGTGAAGTTGAAGCCCTGCTTGATGTCAGCCAGAGTGGAGTCCTGGGCACCTAAGCACAGCATGGAGAAGGCCATGGAGACACTCAAGGGGGAGAAGAAGATATTCTTGCTGGGGCTTCTAGAGGCCAAGTTCTTGAAGAGCTTGAAGCCAAAATCTGTGTTCTGCCTTGCAAGCTCCTGGGCTGCCCACCTTCCTTTCCATACTTGGGGCTGGCTCACAGCCACATGACTATTTGGAGAGAAGTTGTTCTGTGGAACACCTTCCACAGCAAAGAAGCCAGCCAGAAGCAGGCCAAGGCCCAGCATAGCATTCATTTTCCTTGAAGATTGTCCTGTTGAGAAGTAGACTTAAAGTTAGAAAACAAACAAAAAATGAGTTCTATTCTCCTAACATTATCCACGAAGAAGACCAGATGGAAGAAGAAATTTGATGACTGGTGTGTTCTGTGCATGGTGGTTTATATGTACTTTGATATGCATAAGGATTTAACCCATAAAATCATTCTGGGGATGAGAAATGATCATCCCTAGTTCATAAATAAGAGCCTTGACTATACAAGACAGCTCTTGTTTGTGTACCTCTCCTTCTTATGACAGTAGTAGCTCAATTCTTTTGGGGGACCTGCCCCTCTCTACTCCACAGGGCCATGAAAAGAACATTCCACAGTGTAGACATTTGATTCAGGCCAAGCCATCATAATACTCCATCCCCCACCACATTGACTGGTTAACAAAAGATAAGACAGTGAGACCAAAGTTATTTCAAGCATTATCTTTCTTGGGGAATGCAAAACCCTCTCAACTCTGGGTGACTGGCTTGATGACACAATTCTGAAGTTCAATGTGGTTATGACTTCCACATAGAGAGGAAGAGAAGTGGGATAGAGAGATGGAAAGAGAGAAATGGAGGGACGTGTTTGATTACATTGTTGGAGTGCCTGGATCCAGCTGTACCTGAAGTCCTTTCTCTGTTTTTCCAAGTTATATGAACAAATAAATTCCTCTTTTACAGTTGGTTAGCTTGAATTAGGTCTGTTACCTACAGCCAAAAGAATTCTGGCTAAATTTCAGAAATTAAGCCACCTGTCTAAGATTGTATGGTCTGTTAGTGGCAGATACCCACCCTGGGGGAACCTAGATGTTCAGTCAATCTCCTTCTCTACCTTCTTTCCAGGGAAGAGAAGGCAGTGCGGCCATGGGGAGGAGAATCCAACTCTGTCTGGCTTCATAACTTCTGCTCTTTCTATCAACCTCCTAGCTTTGACACCTCCCACAAGACTGAGATTTTGAGGGCAAGAATTTTATCTTCAACTTCTTCTTAATCTCTAGCCATAAAGCCTCACAGAGCTGTAAAATGTATGTCTTAGTTACTTAGAAATAACACAAGTGGATGATATTAAAGAACAGAGATTTGTTTTGTAATAGTTCTTGAGGCTATAAGTCCAAATCAGGGTCTTGGCCATGCTGGCTCCTTCTTTATAGATAGTCCCAGGCATTCCTTGGTTCCTTGGTCATAGATGATCCTCACACGGCATCTGTCTTCTCTGATGTTTGTGTGTGGGTTATGTGTGTGTATGTGTGTGTGTCTGTCTGTGTCTATGATGCTCATTATATAATTCAGAAGTGTTTAGGTTTAGGATCCACCCCACACTGGCATGACCTCAACTGACTGTTTGATTATATTACATTAGATTGCATTACAAAAGGTGATTATATTATATGAGATTGTTGTTGTTGTTAGGTGCCGTCGAGTCAGCTCTGACTCATAGCAACCTTATGTACAACAGAATAAAACACTGCCTGTCACACACCATCCTCACAATCCTTGCTATACTTGAGCCCATTGTTGCAGACACTGTGTCAATCCAACTTGTTGAGGGCCTTCCTCTTTTTCCCTGACCATTCACTTTACCAAGCATGATATATTTTCCAGGGAATGGTCCCTTCTGACAACATGACCAAAGTAGGTGCGACGAAGTCTGCCCATTCTAGCTTCCAAGGAGCATTCTGGCTGCACTTCTTCCAGGACAGATTTGTTAGTTCTTCTGGTAGTTCATGGTACTTTCAGTATTCTTCACCCATACCACAGCTCAAAACCATCAACTCTTCTTCGGTCTTGCTTATTCTTTATCCAGCTTTCATGTGCATATGAGGTGATTGAAAACACCACAGCTTGCATTAAGCACACCTTAGTCTTCAGAGACATCTTTGCTCTTCAGCACTTTAAAGAGGTCTTTTGCAGCAGATTTGCCCAGTGCAATCCATCATCTGATTTCTTGACTGCTGCTTCCATTGGTGTTCATGAATGCTGATACCATTCCATTGGTGAAACCAAGTAATATGCAATCTTTGATAACTTAATCCTTTCTCCGTTTACCATGATGCCGCTCATTGGTCCAGTTGTGTGAGGATTTTCATTTCCTTTATGTAGAGGTCTTTAATCTTCATCAGTAAGTGCTTCAAGTCACCCTCATTCCTTCAGTGCAGCTTTGACGTCTTCCTTCAATACCATTGGTTCTTGACCATATGCCATCTCCTAAAATGGATAAACATTGACCAATTATTTTGGATGAATCTGTATTCCTTCCATCTTTTGATGTTTCCTGCATTACTCAATATTTTGCCCACAGAATCTTCCAATATCACAACTTGAGGCTTGAACTTTTTCTTCAGTTCTTTCAGCTTGAGAAATGCTGAGTGTGTTCTTCCCTTTTGGTTTTCTAACTCCAGGTCTTTGAACATTTCATTATAATAATTGACTTTGTCTGCTTCAGCTGACCTTTGAAATCGTCTGTTCAGTTCTTTTATGTTGTCATTTATTCCATTTGCTTTAGCTATTCTCCATTCAAGAGCAAGTTTCAGAGTGTCTTCTGACATCCATTTTGGTCTTTTCTTCCTTTCCTGTCTTTTGAATGATCTTTTGCTTTCTTTGTGGTTGATATTCTTGATGTCATTCCACAATTCCTCTGGTTTTTGGTCATTGGTGTTCAATATGTGAAATCTATTCTTTAGATTGTCTCTAAATTCAGGTGGAATATAACCATGGTCATATTTTGGCTCTTGTGGACTCGTTTTACTCATCTTCAGCTTCAACTTGAATTTGCATATGAGCAGTTGATGGTCTGCTCCACAATCAGCTCCTGGCCTTGTTTTGGCTGAAGATACTGAGCTTCTCCATCACCTCTTTCCACAAATATCAATCTGATTCCTGTGTATTCCATCTGGCAAAGTTCACATGTATAGATGTCATTTATGTTGTTGAAAAAAGTATTTGCAATGAGCAAGTTGTTGGCCTTGCAAAATTCTATCATGCAATCTCCAGTGTTATTTGTATCACCAAGGCCATATTTTCCAACTACTGTGACTCCTCTTTGTTTCCAACTTCTGCATTCCAGTCACCAGTGATAATCAACACATCTTTATTTCATGTTTGGTCAATTTCACACTGTAGAAGTTGGTAAAAATCTTCAATTTCCTCACTTTTGGCTTTGGTGGTTGGTACATAAATTTGAATAATAGTAGTAATAGCTAGTCTTGTACGCATATGGATATTTTCTTATCACCAACAGTATTGCACTTCAGGATAGATCTTGAAGCATTCTTTGTGACAATGAATGCCACACCATTCCCCTTCAATTTGTCATTCCTGCTGTAATAGATCATACGGTTGTCTGATTCAAAATGGCCCAAACCAGTCCATTTCAGCTCACTGATGCCTAAGACATTGATGTTTATGCATTCCATTTAGTTTTTGACAACTTCCAATTTTCTTAGACTTATGCTTCATACATTTCATGTTCTGATTATTAATGGATTTTTGTAGCTGTTTCTTCCCATTTTGAGTCATGCCCCATCAGCAAATGGATATCCCAAAAGCTTTACTCCATCCACATGTTGACTCTACTTTGAGGAGGCAGCTCTTCCCCAGTTATATTTTGAGTGCCTTCCGACCTGAGGGCCTCATCTTCTGGCACTATACTGGACAATGTTTCAGGGCTATTCATAAAGTTTTCTAGTAATATATCAGACAGTTTTTCACTGCTATTTATAAAGTTTCCACTGGACAATTCTTTGAGAAGTGGAAGGCCCATTCCTTCTTCTGAGTGTGTCTTGGTCTGGAAGCCCTGCTGAAACATGTCTACTAGGGGTGACCAGTGGCATAGCCTCCAGCCTCACAGCACCACACAAGCCACCACAGTGCAACAAACTTACAGACGAGTGGTGGTACCTCACATTATATGTAAGGTAATTCCTCACATTACATCAGATTACACATGTGAGTATAGGGGTTAGGAAGAGTCCAACACACCTTTTTTGGATGGAAGGACACAATCCAATCCATAGCAATATGCCAAAAACCTTGTTAATTTCTCTAGTTGTACATACTACTGTCAGTGATTTTATACTAGTTTATATGCATAATGGATCCAGATTGTATTGCTTGGTTTCTGATATCTCATTTACTTTTTGGTGGCGTAGTGCCTAAGGCATTTGACTGCTAACCACAAGGCTGGTGGTTCAAACTCATTTAGCCACTCCTTGGAAGGAACATTGGGCAATCTACTTTCATAGAGATAATGCCTCGGAAACCCAAGGAGGGGTTGCTATGAGTTGAATCGATTCGACGGCAGTGAGTAGCAGTAGTAGTAGGTTAAATCTATATGAATCTGTAATCCACGGGCAATAGTGAACATCAGTAAGGGCTTTTCCTGGTTGTCTTAGGTGGAGTTCCTTAGAAGGAGAACCTGAGACAATGATCTAGGTGGATATTCTATAGAGGAAGAGCCTGTAGCATGAACTTGCAGGGACATGAGGGAATCAGGGCAGGAATGGGAAAAGCCCCAGCAAGGATGTGCTCTCAGGTCAGATTTAGCCTTGGTCAGATCAACAGAGGGAGAGACTGGAGCATAAATCACATGTAGGAATCAACCCTCTGAAGCAAAGGGGCTGGCCTTTTGGATCAAATCAGTCAGTCACTGGTTGTAGTCTGCCCCCAGGGCACAGCAAGTGAAGTATAACTTTCTGGATCAATTAGCTCCTTCCAGCCAAGGACAATTTTCTGGATGAGTGAAGTAGCTCTCATAGCAGTACATGTGTGTGTGGAGTAGGGGGTAGGTACATCACCAGTGAAGGGAAACTGAGCAGGGCACAAACATGATGTTCTCATATTTGAAAATGTTAGTAAATTCTCTGAAGCATCCATTCTGACTTCCACCTTCTTAATACAACATTATATCTTATTTATTTATCATATGTCCACCTCTCCCCCAGGCAGCTTTGGTACATTCCACAGAGCTGGGACTTGAGAGAACAGG